CTTTCGGACCTCGGCCTCCGACGGAGGCTCAAACCTAGCCGTCCATGGCTCGTCCAGTATCACCTGAGTAGGAAGAAGTCCGGGTGTAGGAGGCCAGCTGAACTGATCTTTAAAGTGTTCCTCCCAACGAGTCATACGGCGCTACTTATTGTGTATCTGCGCACCCGCACTGTCTCTGATTGTCTCACTGACGCCTGGTTTTCTGGGACCAGTGGCGCGTATTAGCTGGAATAGCTTGCGGTAATTGCCTATCGCTCCTGTCTCCTCCATTTCTTGAGCCAGACTGGTTCACCGGTCTTTCTTCTCCGCACCTAGGCTATGCTTTAATTCACGCCTAATGGCCCGTCTAGTCATATTGTGTTCAGAGCCAGCCGTGAGGTGTCTTCTAGATTCCAACAAGTTCACCGACCGCTTGGATATCCAGTGACTGGTGCGGTGACGATTTATAGTTCCACAAGCAGATGCCCCTGGGTCATGCATGGCGGCTGTGATCCTATTCCACTAAAGCTCAGTGTCATTAGGACAAGTCAGCAGAAGTTTGGTACGCAGTGCTTCTTGATAGGCTTGCCTGACCGAGGACTAGGACCGTTTCTCCGTTGTTACTCGTTGGGGACACTTGGTGCGCCTTCCGGTAAAGTTCAAGGCGAAATGACAGCGCACCAAGGCATGATCAGAGTTGACCCAGGTACTCCAGTATGCTCGGCAATCCAGGATGGAACCACGCTATCTGAAACTGGCTAGGTGGTCAATTTGGGTCCATCGCTGGCCAGCTACAGGTGGACGCCAAGTGGCACTTCGGCGCCCACTGTGGCTAAAAGCAGTGCTACAAAGAACCAACTGATGCTCTTCACACAGTTGCAGCAGACGCTCACCGATGGCAGTCCATTCGGAGGTAAGTCCATAATTACCACACCGCTGAGCTGCTGAAGAGCGCAGGCGCCATAATTGTGTGCTTTTGCTTCGTCAATGGCGAAAGGCAAGGGATGCTAATCTTCGTTTTGCTCCGCCACTGACGAACCTTTACGAAGAGTTTGCTTTCTTTTGCTCCGTCAGTGACGAAGCAAAACGAACCAACACAAAGGCAGTCCTTCGTCTTTCTATGTAAGTATCTGCCCACTCAGCACCGGTGTCCGATGAGCGCCCGTTGGAAGTCCGATGGGTGACCGATCGAAAGCCCGATGGGCGCCCGAGTGGCAAAATATTGTGTCACCCATTGGGCACTCGCCGAGAAAAATTGTGCGGTTCCTCCATCAAACGCCCTGTTTTGCCCAGGTTTCGCTGTGTAAGAATAATCTATCCACCTTACGTCCTCCTCCAACACCTTTTATTGCGCGTTATTACAATTCCACACATCTGGGGACCCTACCAGCACGAAACTCCGCCGGCAGGCTGCCCAGATTCCAAAATAAGTGCGAACGGCTTGTTTCGGACTGGCAAAGAAATCTTCAGCAGCACTCCCCCTTTACACTCCTTTGTGTATTTCTTAACGCATGGCATTAGATTACCTATGATCTTGGCCTCAACATAACCATTAACACAACTGGTGCACGCGACTCAGTCAACTTCGTCATGAAGAGTGTGAAAAGTGCTTACAATTTTAATAATGCGCACTGGAACGTAGCGAAAAGAAAAATATGCGGAACCATCACGACCCACGGGGCAACTACGAGATCCATCCATTGATGCCGGTTAATCCAAACGTGACGCTGCCAAGATTCGAACCCCAGACACTTACATCACGAGACGAGCGCCCTACGACTAGACTACGGAACTACGTTGATGGGTCCTCAACTGCTCATATTCCTACCAGCAGGACAGTCTGCTTTGGTCACATATCCACGCAAAACTTCTGTTACATGTAGCAACTAACGTCGGAATCTACGATCACTCCTGACTTGGCAGGGCCTCCGTTGAATCCATGGCTGCTTTTCGCTGTATGGCAGCTGTCTTCCGTTAAGCGGGCATTACGTACTCAAAGATAACATTGCGTGGGAAGAGTCTGCTGGTGGTGCAACGTTTCAGCTACTGGGAGTGCAATCCTGTACGCTTATCGCATTTTTATCGGCAATACCTATAGATGTCGCATAAACAAAATGTGCAGCGTACAGGTACCAGCAGTTATGCGTAATGTGTGTGTGAATACTGCATTCACGAAGTGAACATCACTACTATCTATTAATGAATAGTTTGTTTATTATAAGAAGTTAATAGAAAGACCACCCATGCTTTCAGTCGCCGTTGGACAGTTGATATTGCTATAAGCCGATTTCATTTGCCATATTTTACGAACGCAGGATGAGTGTCCTGTATCGGGCGCCAAAGGGACCGATGGTGCTGACAGGGTGAGTTCAGGTCAGGTCAGGTCAGGTCAGATGGACGATAGAGGCTTCCGACTAACGAGCGTCCAGTTCTTGAGCCGGTAAGTGAAGCGACCCCGGCACTTCAAGGTTAGATTGTCTCCTCTTGCTTCTGCAACGGAAAGAAGCAAGAACAAGAGCAATCTCTGCACTTTCATATGCCAGCATCAAAATACACTACATAATAAAGCACAACTACAATATCTCTGGATAAAGGAAAGAACAACAATTGTCTAATCCCCTTATAAGGGCTTCCACAGTCTCAGAATGCACTAAATCAGAAGAAAGTTTTTTTCCTAGCAGTCAGAGGACAATTCAGATAAGTCAACTACGTATCCCGAAAAGCACCAGAGGGCCGTTTCGCCGTATTGAGGCGCGTCAGTAGTGCGCATCGTTCGGTCCTCTACGGAGGATCGAAACCATGACTGCTAGTGGCTTGTGCCAAATAGACCGCAGCTTATGCAACTGCTCTAGGGAGGATCGAACCTCTGAGTGCCAGTGGCTACAACGCAGTTAGATAACAATTCGTGATGGTCGGCTACCGTCCCCCATGGCGCAGTTGCATAAGCTGCGGGCTAGTTGGCACAAGTCACTAGCAGTCATGGGTTCGATCCTCCGTAGAGGTTTGAGGGCTGCGCACCACTGACGAGCACCAATATGGCGAAACGGCCGTCTGGTGCTTTTCGGGATACGTAGTTGACTTCTCTGAATTGTCCTCTGACTGAGACGAACAAAAAAATACTCACAAAAATCATTCTACTCAAAAGTAATATAAAATCGCCCTTACGTATTCCATAAATGCTATGTCGATTCATAGCTGCCGTAATTGGGAAGTCCTGACACCGGAAGGCCAACCGCTGTCATCTGCATGGCAGGTGCCTGCATGGCAGTGGAGGATGGGTCGGGCTATATCGCAGTTAGATAACAATTCGTGATGGTCGGCTACCGTCCCCCATGGCGCAGTTGCATAAGCTGCGGGCTAGTTGGCACAAGCCACTAGCAGTCATGGGTTCGATCCTCCGTAGAGGACCGAGGGATGCGCACCACTGACGAGCCCCAATAGGGCGAAACGGCCGTATAGTGCTTTTCGGGATACGTAGTTGACTTATCTAAATTGTCCTCTGATTGCCACGAACAAAAAATTCTCACAAAAATCCTTCTTCTCATAAGCAGTAGGAAGTTTATTCCGGTAGTTAACTTCCCGGTTTTTATAAATCTTTGCCCTGACGTCCAAACGAGCTCTGTGATGTTTAAGCCCTAGGCGATGCCCGTGCAAATGATCTGACGTAGCCAGCTCAAACAAATGGGTGGAACTAATACCACTAAGTCCCTTAATGATCTTAAACGTCTCTATCAAATCTCCTCTCAACCTACGCTTTTCCGGGGAAAAGATTCCTAAGCTCCTTAGACGATCTTTATAAGACTTCCCTCGTTGACCTTCAATAATCCTGGTCGTAAGTTTCTGAATCTTTTCTATACAAATGATGTCACTACGGAGGTACGGTGACCAGGCCTGAACACAATACTCCAGATGTGGCCTGACCACTGCTTTATATAAGGGCAAGAATACTTCTGCTTTAGTGTTACTCAGCGCCCGAAATCATTACAAAGGAAGTTGTTTGTTGAACAATCAAAAGTAACGTATAAGTGCGTAAGCGGATTATAAAAAAACTTATATTGTGCAACGGTTCGCACTTAAGTAACCCAGTGTATTTGTTTGCATACATTTTGTACCGGAAATGGAAGTGTGCGGTCAGTTGACTGCTCTCACGTTCCCTTGTGGGAACGCGCTCCACAACTGTCGATGCAAAGAATAATAAATAACAGTCCAAGGGTACATCAGACACTGGAAATTAAGAGGAGTGTTATGAACAAACGTTGGCGTGTGAACATGGAAAGGAAACTACGAATAGATGATCAATAATGCCATAGTGTGATGTTACACCATGAAGCATGTATGTATTGAAATGAGCGACCGAAGGTCGAATTAGGTAGTCAGAAATACGGAACCATTGTTGCCACGACAGCAACCGTCGCTGCGTTAATAATTGGTGATGTATTATGAATTGGGAGATATAGCGAAAGGGAACACTGAAAAATGGAAACTATGGAAGCTGCGCTTTGTTTCAAAGGAATTGAATGTTCTTAGAAGGTTCGGAGGGAAGTGATATGTGGTGATGTTTACAATGACGGCACGGACAATGTAGGTACACATAAAAGATAGGCTTTTAGTTGATGCGCTGCATGCGTGTTAGGGAAAAACCAGCTGAATAATTTGGTAACTGTTATAATACCGTTTGTGGTGTAATATATAACTACCATTAACACGTTTCACACTGCTACATCTAGGGAAATGTGGATTAAAACGCCATATTTCACGTATTTGTTTACAGCATGGGTAAAATGAAATGTAGTTTGCAACCGTACAGAGGTATATTTCACAGCGGTTCAACAAATGATTTCATGCGTAATTTGTTACATATGGGATAAATAATTTGGCCAGAATTTTATGGTGGATGGATAGGCAACATTTGATAACAGGTGGAGTTTGGTAATGTAATTTAAAAAGAAATGGGAAGTACTAGTGATATAGTTCATTCCTGAAATCCATGAATGCGACTTCTATCCAGAAGATTTCGATACTTGTTGGGCGGAGCCTGGGATACTAGTCGGTAAGCAATGACACGTAAGACGTGTCAAATACGACAGTATAGAAGTCGGAGGCGACTGAACCCAACGTATATTGTGCAGGCTACAAGAATAGGAAGCGAATCAGACAGAGCGAGAAACGTGCAGCGAGGTACTCACCAAAACGGTTTGTGTCAACGGACGTGCAGTCAGTAAAACAAATGGACGTTTCGAAGGTTAAAACAACCGTAAAATCCAATGTTACAAAATACTGAAAGAGCTTGTTTTCCGGTACACTACAAGGGCCTCCCCTAGAAGGCTGAAGGATGGAAGCCTTCGATGGAGCTGTTAGTGGGGGAAACGGAAGGTGAGGGTGGATGCGAATATTTGCAGGGGCTTGAGTAAGGGCTTCCAAAGTGGGGTGTGTAGCAGATTTCGCTGGGTCCAGGCTTTTGTTAGTTATTATTTATGACGATCGTGTGGACCAGAGTGCATCATCGGTGGGCCGTCGGGGCGGGCTGGTCGGACTGCAAAAAAACTGGCTAGTCCAGAAAAAGGCCGACAGGACCTTCCCTTTGCTGCAGACCCGACGGTGCGCTTGGGAGGTGTCACTCCCCCCACCGCACTTTAGTCCACGGTCCTCGTCCCACGAAGAAATCCAGGCGTCCTCGTCCCACGGAGAAATCCGGGCGTCCTCGTCCCACGAAGAAATCCGGCGTCCTCGTCGGCAATGCCTAGGCGGCGTTTGGGGACCAATCCGTTCGTGGGTGTCTGCGGTCGAGGGCGACTGTCTGTTCCTTGGGTGAGGAAGGGGCTTTGGGACGGCTGGCGAGTCACTCCAGGGTTGCGTTGAGCCGGTTGGCGAGTCACTCGAGGGTTGCCTGGGCAGTTCCGGCGGTTGAGTTTCTGGAAGGTAGAACTCAGAGGGGGTGGGCAAGGGTCGGGGAAGTGGCTTGACGCCGGAGAGGGAACATGGCATGCATGATAAAAGCAAATACGCTTTTAGGTTTTCAAAATGTTTTGGGTTTTTTTGTCGATTTTGCAAAACGTTTGTGGATGAGACGCAGGATAACCACTAAAGACGAAAAAGGCGTGTTAATGGAAATAGCAAACGCTTACAAAATCTGAAAAACGGACCGGACGTTTGACCTGTCTACCGCGTCGGTCGGTTGCCTGGGGTTGCGGCGGGATAGGTTGCGGGTCAAGGGGTACGGAGGGTTCCGGGCTATCCAGTGCTCGGGAAGTCACCACAGGTGCGGGTGCTTGTGCGAGAGCATCAGGATGGGCTGCAAGTGGCTCGTCAAAGAAAGCCACTTTGAGGCGGTCGATGGACACCGTTGTTCGGTGACCATTCTGGTCTAAAGTAAAATGTTTCGGAGTCCGTTGCAGAACTCTGAAAGGGCCAGTGTAGGGAGGCTGGAGAGGGCGCCGCACTGCGTCGGTGCGGAGGAAGACGTGAGTGCAGGTAGAGAGTCCGCTGTGCATTTGCACATCTCTAGTCTGTTCACGGGGCGGGGTCGGGCGTAGTGAACGCATGCGTTGAGCTAGGGAGGACGCAAAGTTAGCGGAGGCATACCCGACGATGCGGGAGGTGAAACGAATTCTCCTGGTAACTTGAGCGTCGTGCCGTAAACCAGCTCTGCTGGTGCACATTGCAAGTCAGCTTTGATGCTGCTGCGAATGCCTAAGAGAACGAGCGAAATGTTTTCGCTCCAGCTAGGGTCGGAGGAGGCGCAGAGCGAGGCTTTAAGCTGTCTATGGAAACGTTCAACTAACCCGTTGGCTGCTGGGTGATACGCTGTGGTATGAATGCGGCGACAGCCTAAAAGTTGCAGAACGTATCGAATTGTGAAGATTCGAAAGGCGTTCCTCGGTCAGTTGTGATGGTGGATGGGCATCCGTAGTGCGAGACCCATCGGTCCAAGAAGGCCCGGATAACAGTCTCAGCTGTGCAGTCTGTTACGGGAATGGCTTCTGGCCATCTGGTGAAGCGGTCGACACATGTAAGAATGTATACGAATCCGCGTGAAGGAGGCAATGGACCTACCAGGTCTAAGTGTACATGCGAGAACCGAGAGTCCGGGGCAGGAAATGAACCAAGAGGACTGCGGGTGTGACGATGTACTTTGGAGCGCTGGCATTGAAGGCAGGCGCGAGCCCAGGTACGAACATCTTTGTTTACGCGTGGCCAAACGAAACGTTCGGTGACCAGTTTCAAAGATGCACGGATACCGGGATGTGATAGTGAGTGCAGTGCGTCAAAGACTGTGCGTCTGAAGGAGACGGGCACGAGGGGTCTAGGACAACCTGTGGAAGTGTCACAGAGAATGGTTCCTTCCGTGGTTTGGAGAGGAACAGGTTGCACATGCAGCGAAGTGGACTGCAGAGTGCGCTGTATATCTTCGTCTTGAGCCTGAGCCGATGCCATGGCGGCAAGGTCGACGGTAGGCAAAGACTGGAGAGTGAGGTTGACGCGTGAGAGAGCGTCGGCGACGGGATTGTCGACACCTGAGACATGACGTATGTCAGCAGTGAACTGCGTGACAAAGTCTAGGTGTCTTGTTTCCCGTGGTGAGTATTTGTCGCAAGCAGAGTTGAAGGCAAAGATAAGGGGCTTGTGGTCAGTGTAGACCGTGAAAGCGCGGCCTTCAAGTGTGTGCCGGAAGTGACGTATCGCTAGGTAAATGGCGAGCAGTTCTCTGCCAAACGTGCTGTAGCGGGATTCCGCTGGCTGCAGGCGCTTGGAGAAGAACCCAAGGGGTTGCCATTGCCCACCAACGTGTTGTTGGAGGACGGCTCCTACCGCGACGTCTGAGGCATCAGTCGTAATAGAAAGAGGTGCAGTCGATTCGGAATGAGCGAGGAGGGCTATGTTGGAGATAGCATCCTTGAGCTCGGCGAAGGCTGCCTGTGCTGTGTCAGGGAAAGCGAACTTACGTTCATTTCCTCTGAGTAGGTCAGTCAGTGGCTGCATGAGCTGAGCGCAGCGCGGAATGAAGCGTCGATAGTAGTTGACCAAACCACAAAATCGACGGAGGTGCTTGAACGAAGTCGGAGCTGGGAAGTCCTTGATTGCCTGGATCTTATCAGGAAGGACTTCGATACCGAATAGCGAATTCACTTGATTTTCAAGTGCGTGTATTTTTAGCATCGCTTCAGTAAGAAAGTCATTAAGCATGACCTTACATTCCTGAGAAGGAATGATAGCGGCTATGTCAGGTACTGATGTATGATTAACAAGCTCTATATTACCAATCCCTGAGCTGGAACTATTGGCCACCACGATGGTGTCAATTTGGTCAATGGGTTGGACACTGCCCACGTCCGCTATAGCCGAGCTGTCTTTAACGGTGAGGATTGTAGCCGGTTTCACTCTTTATCTGTTACGCCTCATAGCTGCGAGATGTTTAGGTACCATGTACATGAGAAATGGAGCAATATACCACAACACTACAAAAGATGACTTGGACAAAAAGTCCAAAGAAAACCCGATGTACGGTTATAAGATGACAGTGTGATATAATTAAATATCACAAACTGTATGATAGGGTTAATGGAAGCGATATAGCAACACTGAATAGCCAACCAAAACTTTTCGACTTAATCGAATTTACCGCTAAAGGCTTGTTCTATCTTGGACTATGTACGCGATCTACGGGAGCGTCTTCGATCTGCATTCCTCAGCGTCCAGCTAAACATGAGAAATGCGCAAAACCGCCAGAAACAGTGTTATGACCAGCGCTGTTTCGGGCCAGAATACCACGTAGGAGATCATGTGTGGCTGCACCGACCGAAGCCTCCTGCAGGCGCGTCCACTGAATTTCATCGCCAATGGCAAGACCCTTACGAAATTGTGTTTGTCCGTTCCCCCACGGTATATGCAATTCGGAGTGTCAATGAGCCGAGATCAGACGTTTTAACTGTTCATTACAATCAATTGAAACCAGCTACTTCGTCATCGAACTCTGCACCATCAGACAGAATATTTCCCCCGGGATGCCTGCCTATGGTGGAAGGAACTGTAGAGATACCACCCGAAGGCGGGATGGCTACGGCAGCAGACACGGAGGCACTGAGGGCAGTGCCCAATACAGGAGGGGGGCAGTGTAACGAAACCGAAACTGTAATGGGACTCTGAACGAACCGCCACTTTTAATTCTCTTTCTTCTTTCCTTTTTCAGACTCGAACACGTTGAACAATGAATGAATCGTTATGAACATATTTCCCATTTGACGCACCTACGGACCTTTTATACCATTTTTGAACGACTTGCGTATTTGTTTTGAATTTTTTTGGTTGTCATTTTTGGTTGTCAAAGACACGTTGCTGCTTCCCGTCGTGTTCTTTCTTCCGTGGTCGGTGACTGCCCGATTGGTTGCATCTCTTCTTGCTGCGTTCGCTGGATATCGTGCCGCTCCTTCCTCATCCGATTGCATGCATTCACGCATTCATAGACTAGTCGAGTTACTGTCGTGTGTGTTTACTGTGCGCTCCATTTCAGCCCGATCGTCTCTCGGCATTTCAAACCTGCTCTGAAGGAACCCTTACACATCATGGTGGATGAAGCTGAGAGATTATGTCTCTTGGTGCATACTATTCTCGGAAACTTGATGAGGTTGAGTCCGATGTAAAGAAATTGGCATCTGCCGCAGCTTTTTGCAAATATACGGCTGTGACTCCAAAGCATTATGAACGGCAAAATTGGAAGGGGTTGCCAGATGAGTACCCGTATCGGTACGTGCAAAATTCCTGTGTTCATGGCAGGCGTAGAAACTTTCCTAGGAAACAATAAGTCGCTATTTTTACGGTATAATAAATGCCACATTGTTACAGGATGCTGGATTGCTGAGCCCATTTCTGTTTCAAGTTGAATGTTGAATTATACGAACGAGGGGAATTGCATTTGTGTCATTGTCATGGTTTCCATTTTAGGAAGCCATGGCTATATCCACCGAACAGGCAGTTGACGAAGACGCGGGAGAAAGAGGGGTTTCCCTGACGTCAGTGTTAAACTTGCCAGAAGACACTGGCAATTTGTCAGATCCTGCATCTATTTGTTCATTGTCCAATGCCGGTTTACCTGTTAGCAACGCCCTTGTTAGTAACGAAACCTCAGACAGCATGTTTGATTCGGCTGTTAGCGAAGGAGGCAACAGGTTCCTGCCCTTGTCAAAAGAAGGCGAAAGATACTTAAAGAAGCGGTAAAACCCAAGGCGTACATGAGAGATCCGTCTGGCGCCCATTCCCCCCTCAAATTCTACTACTACGGAATCGTTGCAACTGGAAACATCTACGACATTAGAGTCTATAAACGGACACTAAACTGAAACCACCGACATCCATGGAGCGTTCGGTAAATACTTCGCGTCTCGGAGACTCGTATACCGACTGCGGTGTTATTTTCAGAAACGCCACTGAGTCTTATGCTGTTCTCCCATGAGACCGTATGCAAGATGACCTTCATTGGTTTAGAATATGCGTTACCAAACTCCTGCCTCCCGGCTTCCCCGGCGTGACTGTGCGCAAACTAACCAGACTCGGTAACCTGCCAGCTGACAAGTCTCGTCCTCGCTTGTTGCGATTTGTTCTGTGCACTCCGGAGGAGCGCCAAACACTTCTGCGTTTCGCCTTTAAGCTCAAGGGCACTGGTGTCATTGTGCACCCAGACCTCACTTTGGCGGATAGGCTGAAATTGCGGGAAGCTATGAGAGATCTTAAAGCCCGCCGTGAAGCAAAACAAAAGGGTCTCCGCTTGGTAAGTTTTCGGGTGGTGAGCCGGCGGTCCACTTCCGCCCTACCAGAGCCGGTTCTGGTGGCGCAGGATCCCGGACGCACAATGCTAAATCCTTTCAGGTGATCTCAAGCAATGTGCGTAGCCTGCGAAACAAGCTGTGCGAAGTCGATTGCCTTGTCGACGACTGCCGTCCAGACGTTCACGCCTTCACTGAAACATGGTTGTTTACGGACTTCACTGACAGTGAAGTGTGTTTGTCAGGCTACGCACTGCTGAGATGTGACCACACCTCTGATCGGCGCGGAGGTGGCGTTGCTTTGTACGTTAACTCCGCACTTGCCGTCTTTAACACGTAAAGCTTCAGATCATCAGAGGGTGGTGTTGTGGCACCAGCAGTTAACCTGTGTATTGCCTCTGCGCAAGTTAAAGTTGTGCTGGTCTATAGGAGCCCCGACAGTGTTGCTAAGAGACTTGCTGATTTCATCCGCGAGCATTGGGCAAATAGGTGTTTAGTGATGAGGGACTTCAATCTTCCCGACGTTGACTGGCAGAATTTTTCCTGCGACGCTGTTACATGGTGTTTGGCTACCGAGCTTTTCGAGCTGGCCTTGCATGCTTCCCTGCACCGATTTGTCCATAGGCCTACTAGATTCATGATGGGTCGAAACCCGTCCCTCTTTGATTTGATCTTCGCTGAATGCATTGATTTTTTCACGGATATTATTTACAAACCACCTCTCGGTGCGAGGGACTACGCTTGTCTCTCATTTAAGT